GCGTCTCCCAGGTGGGTCTGCTGGTGCAGAATGATCACTGTGTGTCTCCCAGGTGGGGTTACTGGTGCAGAATGATCACTGTGCGTCTCCCAGGTGGGGTTACTGGTGCAGAATGATCACTGTGTGTCTCCCAGGTGGGGTTACTGGTGCAGAATGATCACTGTGCGTCTCCCAGGTGGGGTCACTGGTGCAGAATGATCGCAGTACGTCTCCCAGTAGGGGTTGTGTGATGTACATTGGGATCAGGAGTGTCATATACTACACTCACTCACTTCCACGCACAAAGAGCAGGTGTGTAAACCGCTGGCTGGGGATCGGGGGGGCCCTACTTCTCCTGCCCAGTGAAGCTGCGGTCTGAGAGAGTAAGACCTTCCCAGAGAGGTGAGGGCTGTAGTTACCGCCCGAAATCAGAGGTGCGCCACAGCTACCCCCTCGTCTGGGAAGCGAAATTCCTGCCTCTACTTCCCAAATCACGTCCGGCTGCCCGACAGACGCCTCTCTCGGGCGGGCGGCGCGCCACCACACGCGGCGTGTGTTAGTTGGGACACGCTGGCGACGTGCACCCGCAGGGGACGGTCCAATCAGCAGGCAGGACGGCACCACACTCGCGGGCGCTCGGCCAATCACCGCCCTCGCCCCTTCCCCTTCTCCTGTGACGTCCCTGATAGCCACACAGCCAATGGGAGCCCCGGATTTGGCACACACCCCCCTCCTCCTGCCCCAGTGCCGTATTAACCCGCGAGTTGCTGGAGGATTATTTAGTTCCTACACCTTCACCGGTGATTCTGAATTGTGTTGATATTAGTAAAAAACATAATTATTTCGAATGCTATTTACACTCATTTTCCCCCACTCATTGCCCATCGATTGCTTTTATGGCCTTGCTGTTCCGTTTAGGGTGTAATCTAGCTAGTATGTATGCTGTGATATATTTTATATATTGCTAACATATATATATATAGTTCAGGTGGGGAGCTGTCAGCATGCGTAGGCTGCAAAGGAACAAGTGACAGGTTTATTCCGTGCTGGGGAAAAAAGAAAGAAAACAACGTTTCGGCCGTGGAGCCTTCTTCAGGTGTGACCGTTGTGTTCTCTTTCTTCTTTTGTTCAGCATGGAATAAACCTGTTACTTGTTCCTTTGTGCATATATATATATATTATATTTTAGGGATTGTGCGTTCTTCTAGGTTATGATGAACGCCTCTCCAGCAGGACCTGCGGACCGCGCCTGGAGGGGACCAGCCTGCGTCAGTGGGGAGCCCTGCCGGAGTTCTCGGGGTACCGAGGGACAAGCGGGTGGTGGTGAGGAAGGATTGATCCCGGGTTTCGGATGCGCTGACACCCCTGACACCGCCCACCCTCTGTCCCGCTGATGACGTTCACACTGGCCGCCTGTCCTGTTTCCCTCATTGGACCTGGCCTCTGGGCTGTCGTGTTGCGACACCTGAATGTGTATACCCTCGTCTGTCGCATTTCGTTTATTTGTATCTAAAAATAAATTAAAACAGAAAAAAAAACAGGGACCAGTTGAGAGAGGATAATTCCCCGCTGGCAAATGAAAGCAAATACAAGGAAAGGCACATCGGTAGCTGATCCAGACCCCTTCACGGGGACTCAGACCGGACCAGTTCTCAATGACTGGTCTGCGGCCGGGGCCGGCGGCCGTGTGTCCGTCCTCGTTTGGGAAGATGACCCCTCAACCCGTGTGGCGCCCTGACCGGACCGGACCGGTGAGCGGGGAGCTTGTTTCCGCCCGGACGCATTTCAGCAGCGACACCCGCGACCATGACAGCCCTGCGGACGGTGAGTTCAAAGATCGGTCTC